AAGAATTGACCTACATAATAATCACTAAAAAGAACTAAAAAATATTTTAGTACCTAAGGAATTATTTCCGACTAGGCCTGTCAATGGGTCAGGTGCAGACTCAAACCCGACCCGGATCCATCTTTTTTTAATGGGTATGGGTCTACATTTAATTCTGTTACCCGGACCCTGACTCGGACCCGTTATTTAATGGGTCGGGTATAGTATATATTAGTCTAATATACATATTACATTAGCTGTCGTCCACATTACGATTTAGTTTAATAAATCTGAAGAAGGATCCCTAGAGACCTTAGGGTCCGCAGACCACAGAGGATTCAGAAAAAAGCTCTTTCATTTTCCAAAGCCATTAATTTTACTCTTTATTCTAACATTACGTATCTTGCAAATTATAAACCAACTCACAATTGTTGCGTTTGGTTGAGTAATTCTAGTTGCCATATTGTTGCCAGAAAGTACTCGTTAGTAAGAGACCCTGTTTTTTATTTAAGAAATTAGAATTGGATTTTCATGAGACGGATCGGGTCTACTCGACCCGCTTCCGAGACCCAATGGGTATGGGTCCGGAACATTAATTTTAGACCCGTCGGGTGTATGGGTCGGGTTTGGAACCCTATAGAGGCTAACGGGTCTGGGTCTGGGATACTACATTCCGGCCCGTATCCGACCCGTTGACAGGTCTATTTCAGACGTACGAAAATTCCTCTTATTAGGCCATTATATAACGAGTCCTTAGCATCAGTACAAGACTAACTAGAAAATAATAGCATTCCAAATTCCAATCCAGTAATAAACACGTGTTTTATATTTTTGGTACACACGCTTTGCTTCACCATATAATTTGTTACTACGTATATATGTAAGTAGTAAACTAAGCCGTATATATATACGTACTAACAGATGCAAGTTTATATGTAAAGTTGTAAACAACTTCCCACTTTGCTTTTCGGGCATTTCCGAAATTAAGTTTCACTTCTTCCCACTTCCTTATTTTGTATTACAGGAGTATTATAGAAGACTATTATCATTAATAATACTAGACGAAGTACCCGTGCGATGCACGTGGTATATCTAGATTAGAATAACTAACAGCTTATTTAAAACGTGTTTTATTACAAAGGTACATAATTATATTTTTGTCAGATAAAAAAGAATATAGAGTTTTGTTGGGATATTGGCCCGGAAGCCCAATACCCGGAAGCCCAAGGCCCATGATATCCAACCCAAACAACGAGCCCACTACCCTATGATAAGTAAGCCCAATGAGATATTCATACCGAACGAGGTTCGGGCCAAGTAAAGGATGGCCCAGAAAACAGACATACCGAACGGGTTTCGGGTCAAACATCATACTTGGGCCAAATCAACAATATTTAACAGGGTCCATTATCCCGTTCGGGCAACGGACAACCAGCAGGTGGCCAGGTGCAACTAATGCCAGTTTGCGGCATCAGCAAATGGAGGTGATGGATAGTCTACCCGGGGGTATATATCCGAAGGGTTATTGCTGGGGATAACTTAGAGAGAAGTCAGAGCACAAGTAAGAGAGAGAGAGAGAGTGTATTCAGAATGAATGTCGTGGTTACAAATGGGGAAATGGGGGGCTATTTATAGTAGCGATAAATGCCAGACAGGGACACGTGTCAAGCGCCTATTGGCCGAGGGGTCACCTCAACTGGTTGGCGCTGGCAGCCGCATGTGGCCGCATTTAATGCGGCTGTTGGATGGGACGTCTGTACAGGGTACGGTGATCTGCACGCATGTGAGGCGGATATCTTGTCGAGTGAGATGCCTTCGGCTATAGAGCAGTAGCCGAGGGCTCCTCAAACCGATGGCACCCTGGTGCCGAGGGCTCACAGTGCCGAGGGCTACTGTTTTCGCCGTTTTCTCCCAGTTTCTTAGTTTGCCTGGAAAACCCATTCTGTGAGAGTTTGGAGCCTTCGGCCAGGGGGCCGAGGGCACCCCTGGTGCGTATTGCGGGCTGCTTGGTAATCTGGACGCCGTGATTTGGGCCTGGTGGGCCTTCATTGGTGTAGTAGGAGTCTGTGGGCCGGGTGTTCCCGGGCCATATACTCCATCAGGAGTCCCTCACTCCTTTTGCCGAAAGGTATTTGAGGGAAAAGGAGTAATCTGTGCTTGCCCTTTGATGTTGTCCTGTCGTGATCTCTGAAGTTGGTGAGGGGTTGTTGCTTTTATGTCCCTGCCGAAGGCAGTCCCTCAGTTACCCACATGTCGGGACTTGAGGGCTTGCTTTGTCGTTTGTTGGAATTTCACTAATTTTGTAATTTAATGATTTTCCCGAGGGGGTCCTCCAGTCCCCCACTCCTTGAGGCACTTTGTAAAGTGGTAAAAAGGAGTAGAGTAGTTGCGTTGCTGTTGTGGGCCGAAGGCTGACGCTTTTCGTTTCATTTTGGGGGGATGCCTCGTTAAAAACCTCATTAGGAAAAACCCTGTGGGAAAAAATCCTAGTGAGGGAAAAAGAGTGCACCGAATTCCCCCAATGATGAATCGAAAATGTGAAACCTTGGTCAAAAATGGAGAATAACGGTACTGCCGAAGGCTCTTCTTCTTCTGAGTGCTTTTGTGTTGATTGGCCGAAGGCTTGCTGTTGATGTCCTGGGGGGCTCCGAAGGGGAGCCCCTCAGTCTGGGGATCGAGGGCCTGATGGATGAGGGCAGCAGTGGAGTTGTTACCGGGGGGTCCACTGTTTGTTGATTAGTTGGTGATGAAGATACCCGAGGGCTCCCCATGACTCGTGTGCCATAGGCTATCCGTCAATGAGGCAACTCCCCGGGGGCTACTCGGTTTCTACAGGCTATCCCCGAGGGGTGCCCTGATATGAAGCCTTGGGCTTCTGGAGGAGTGATCCCGAAGGCGTCTGTTATGTGCTGTGTGGGGCACAATCCGGGGGCCCCTCCGGGTATGTGTACCCGGAGGCTCTCCTTGATGAAGTGAAGTGAAGTAGAAAACCCGGGGGCTTCCAGAATATAGCCGTTGGAAATATAGCCGTTGGAATATGTAGCGTCAGATTTATAGCCGTTGGGGGGGTACACGTGGAGTGTAGCCGTTGGCTGCTCGTGGGCGGGCGTCACCGGTTGGGTGAAACGACGGTGCGTAATGATGGCTTTGGCTGCTGGGAGCCCGGATCTCGGCCCAAGCCCGGATCTGGGAGCCTATAAATACCCCAAGCCAGGGCCATTCCTCCTTTACGCATCCACATCCCTAGCGAAGCTCTGCAAAAAATTCTAGAGAGAGAAACTCAAGCCTTCGGTCAAAAACTCAGCTTTCAGAGGTCAGTTCTCCTTCCGCCCTTAGCTCCATTTGAGTATTTAGCTTTTGGCCTTAGGGTTAGTCTTTAGGACCCTTCAGGAACCCCCCCTTTGTACGAGTTTCCCGACCCCTCGCCCTTTAGAAAAATGTCGTCAGCTAGTGATTCCCAAGACATCTCCGGGGAGGCTTCAGTGAACGTTGAAGTGCCGTCTGACGTGGAATCCTCGAGCGAGCAGCTCTCGGTCATTGATGACAGGGCCGTAGCCGAGGCGGTACAGAGTGACCTTCAACTTGAGCTCGAGGCCGAAGACTTCGAGCAGGTGAACGCGGATGAGGAGCTTGCTATCGCCTGTCAGGTCGCCGAGGACGAGGCCCAGAAGGAGGGCCTGAAGGTGACTGTAGCTATCCCTCCCCCTCGGTGTGGTACTGAAGCTGGGAGCTCCCGGCCTATAGACGCTGTACCCCTCAGTGTGGCCCCAGGACAGAAGAGAAAGAAGGCGAGGATGGCTCCGAAGAAGAAGCAAGCTGTCGTCGACGCTGGCCAGCCACTGGGACTCCCCGAGGGCTATTCTTTCCTGAATACGGCCGCCTTGGAGGTCAAGAATAAAGGTACCCGAGGGGAAATGATGGCGGTACAATTTTTGGTAGGGCCTTCGGCGCAAGTGGTAGAGCCAAAGCCCGATGATGTGCTCCTTCGTGTCCCCGACGGCTGCTTTGCCGTACATCTGCTTTCGGTGGAGCTGGGTCTCAGGTTTCCCCTTCATCCTTTCGTGTTGGAGTACCTACGCTTCGTCAAGCTAGCCCCCTGCCAGTTGACCCCAAACAGTCACTCATATCTGGCAGGGTTCCTGTCACTGTGCCTCAGCCGAAGGGTCCCCCCTACTCTGGAGCAATTCTTCCTGTCATTCAACTTATGCCGGGGGGGGCATTCGAACGCCGGGGGCTATGGTAATCTGCAGCAGCTCCCGAAGTTCAGGATCTTTGATGAGGCGCCTTCGTCTCACAAGGGGTGGAAAGACAAGTTTTGCTATATCCGGTTGGCCGAGAACCCCTTCTCCGCTCCGCTTGGTGACAGGTTTCAGCGGCACCCGAAGGCAGAAGGGTATGCCCTCGAAAAGAATGGGCGGGTGTTGTCCAAGAAGCCGGAGGGTTCCGATAAACATGTGTCCATCAAAGGTGCAACGCTCTCCAGTGAGTTGTACAAGCTCGGCTTCCGTCGGTACCGGCTGATGGGGGAGAAGGAGGAAGGCTACCCCATGATTGACCGCGTATATGAGAGTGCCGAAGGTTGTTGTAATGCCGAAGGCTTCATTTCTCATACTTAGAAAAATTTCTTCCCCTTTTTATTTTTTGCTTTGCTGTAATAGTGAACTAACCCTTGTGTGCCTTCTTGTGTTTCAGGACCAGACATGGACGCTCGGAACCTGGTTAAGCTGAAGAGGCAACTTGCCCGGGAGGAGCAGAAGAAGGAGGCCCCCGCACAGCAGAGGGCGGTCGATGAGATCTTCCCCAAGGCGGGAGCGGTCGAAGAGGCCAAGGAGGCGGGGCCCGTACCGGAGGCCGCCGTCGGGGGCTCCCCCGGTCTGGAGCCGAAGAGAAAAAGGCTTGTGAAGGACCCGGCACAACCGGAGGGGAAGAAGAAGAAGAAGGGGGCCCCGGAGTCGAAGGAAGCCCTCGTTGTGGTCGTAGACGAATCTTCTCCTCCCAAGCCTTCGGGTCAAGCCACTGATCTGACATGGGCCCTGGACAAAGTCCAATTCTCCATTACGAAGAGGACTGCTATCATGCACGGGACCCTGAACCCGAAGGAGTTTTTGAGGGGTGCCACCCCTCCGACCGATAAGTCTGTGCTCTCCTGTCAGGCCGACGATGTCCTCTTCTCCAAGGTTCTGATGGCCTCGGTTACGGTAAGTTTCCTTCCCCCTCTTTTGTAGATAACTTCATTCTTTACATGAGTAGTGGCTAACCCTCCGGTAATTCATGTCTGCTTTCAGGCGAGCCTTGGCCTTGGCGAGCTGGTCCAGAGGATAGAACAGCATGACTCGGAGAAGAAGAAGGCCGCTGAAGCACTGGCCGAGGCCCGAAGGCAGCTCAAGGAGGCCGAGGACGCTCGCAAAGCTGAGCAAGAGGCTTTCAAAGACATCCTCGAGGGCTCCAAGACGGTGGCCAGGGCTGAAGGTAAAGCAGAGGCGGAGAAGACTGCGGCAGATGCTGCCAAGAAAGCCGCGGAGGATGCCAAGGAGGCCCGGATCAAAGCTGTCGCCGAAGCCCGGGAGGATGCTGTTGCTACTTTTGCCGAGGAGGGATGGAAAGCCGAAGGCCGGCAGAAATGGGTGGCTTCGGTGGTGGAAGCTTCGGTGGACGAATGGGTGAAAGGCCCAGGCGCCATGTGGTTGGCCCGAAAGGGGAAAGAGTATTATGACGGGGGTGAGTACTTTACTCGGGCCCTCGTATATCGAAGGCTGTCCCGGCATTTTGGGGTGGACCCGAAGGCCTTTGATCCGGCATCCTATGGTCTTCCTCCCCTTCAGCCAGACCCCAAGGTTCCCTTCCCTGAAGGTGTTGCGAGGCCTGACTTGGAAGACTCCCTGCTGATGGCCGAGGGCAGTGACGAAGAGGAGGAAATTGGTGATGATGTCGCGTCCAAGCCTGCAGTAGAGGACGCCTCCGGGAGTGCCGTCGAAGTTGTTGAGTGATTTTATACTTAGGAATGTCTGAACATATTTTGTAATGAACAACATTGATCCTTTGGCTTCGGCCTGTTTGTAATTTTACACTCACTTATGTTTTTGATGAATGCATGCTGCCTCCGGGCTCTTCACATTTGGATGCGCCCTATGTTTTGAATGTATGCCTTCTCCTTTTTGAGTGTATGTCTTCTCCTTTGAATGTATGTTTTAGGACTTAGAATATTTTCTGATTGTAGCTTGCCCTTAAAAGCCTTCGGTAGTTGGGCACCCTCTGCTGGATATACAACCGAGGGTTCAGCAATAATTAGGACTTAGAAAACTTTTCTAAGTGTAACACACCATAGGGCCTTCGGGTGTTTGTAGTCCAATTGCTGTGTGGTGATTAGGTTGGGAACCCAATTCCTAGGACTTAGAAAAATTTCCAGGTGTAGTTTTGCCCTCGGATGCCCTTGGCTGGTAGCCTCCTTCCTGGTGTGTGAATATTGGACCGAGGGCCCAATGTACAGGACTTAGAAAATTTTTGCAAGTGTAGTATGTCATGTAGCCTTCGGCTGCTGTGGAGCCCCAACTGAGATGTTGATTAGGCCGGGGGCCAATTCTTTAGGACTTAGAAAATTTTCCTCAGTGTTGATTCCTTGTGTACTGTAGCCTTTGATTGATAGGTAGCCTTCGGCTATTAGGTCCCTTGAGATGAGGGTGAAATATGTAGGACTTAGAAAGATTTCCAAGTGTAGATTTTCCCTTGGGAGCCTTCGGGAGATGGCATCCCTTCTTGATGTATGAGTGGTCACCGGGGGGAAATATGTAGGACTTAGCCAATTTTGTAAGTGTAGATTTTCCCTTGGGAGCCTTCGGGAGATGGCCTCCCTTCCTGATGCATAGCCTTCGACTGTCATCTTCATTTAGCTGTAATATTGATTGGGCCGGGGGCCCAATCTTTAGGACTTAGAACTTTTTCCAAGTGCTGCTTCCTTGTGTAGCCTTCGGGTGATAGGTGCCCTCTGACTCTACATTACTTGGCGAGATGCCCGGGGGCTACTCATTTAGGACTTAGAATATTTTCTAAGCGTAAATTGATGTTGACCTTCCGGATGTAGATCCCTTGTGTTGTATGAGTCTCTGGCCGAGGGCCAAATATGTGTGGAATCCTGTTGTTGTGAAGAAAGCCAATGAGGAGTGTGTGCCCTCGGCATACAACTTTAAAAGTTGTAGAGTTTGACCCTTGTCATGGGGTAAGGGCCCTCGGTATTAGTGCGTAACAGATGCCCTCGGTATTTGTTTGAATTACCGTTTAGTAGACTTTGGATAGTCCAGTCCCTTCGTATTGTTGAAGCCTTCGGTGTTTGTGTGACCGGAGGTGACCAAGCAGTGGACTTAGCCGTTTTGATGATATTCGTTTGAGTAGCCTCCTTCGGGAAATAGGAGCCTTCAATTACCGGAGGTGTTCCCGTGGGGAGCCCTCGGTATGCTGTGACCTGTTGGAGTGTACTCTTTGATTTCTCGCTGAGTCTACTCCCCTTCACCCCCTTCTTTTTTTTTTGGTTGGTGGTGAAGGGAAGGCATCAAGAAACTTGGTTTCTTGGTAAGGTTGGGCCTATTAGGAGACCATCAGAATACACCAATGGCTCTCCTCCCCCGGGTTAACCTTCCGAGTTCCGAGGGGATCGAGGGTCGTTTCCTGGGCACAAGATATGGTGGTATGTAACCTGCCTCCCCTTGGGGGATGGCGCGGAAAGCGCCTCATTTTTGAAAGTCGTTCCCTCGGCGCTAGACATAGTCCGTGGCCTGCCACACCCTTGGGGTGGTGGCGCGGGGAGCGTTTCGGTTTGGAAGTCGAATCCTGGGCATTTCTCGTGCCCGTCATACCCTTGGGGTGATGACGCGGATAGCGTTCCGTTTTTGAAAGTCGAATCCTGGGCATTTCTCATGCCTGTCATACCCTGGAGGTAGTGACGCGGAAAGCGTTTCAAGGAAGGGTTTTCATTTGCACACTAGTTGCAAATGGCCGGGGGCACTACGTGCCGCCGGCACCGATGGTGGCGCCTTCGGTATATGCGTCCTCGTGGGGTACGGCTTTTAGAAACAACACTTGGTGTTAGTTTCGATGTGTAGCCCCCGGTACTTGGTACCGAGGGGTCTTCTGTAGGAACACTTGGTGTTCCGATTGGAGTGTTTGGTGCCAGAGGGGCCCTCGGAGGAACACTTATGTTTCCCAACAGATGTTTGGAAGCTGATCGGAGAGCATATCCCTAGCACTGGGTGCCGAGGGGTCTTCTTTGAAACATTTGGTGTTTTTCCTTGTTTGGATGTTTGATGATGGAGGTGTACCCTCGGCACTGGGTGCCGAAGGGTCTTCTGTAGGAACACTTGGTGTTCTCATCTTTTCTCTTTTGATGTTGAAGGTGGGGATGTACCCTCGGCACTGGGTGCCGAAGGGAAATGAAACACATGGCGTTCCTTGTTGTTGGTGATAGGAGTTCCCTCCCTCGGTACTTGGTACCGAGGGGTCTTGACTGAAAACACGTGGTGTTTTCACTGTTTTTGTATATGTTGATGATGTCCGCCCTCGGCACTTGGTGCCGGAGGGGGTTCTTCTCGTGGTGAGGCCTGGGGCCTGTAGTCAGTATGAGGGCTTGATGTCTTGAATGTATCTTCATTCTTCGAAATTGGAGGCCTTGGGCCATAGGATAGTACATTCACTAGTTATGAGGGCTTGGCCGCTCTTACATTATTGATAAAATTTAACTAAGTGGTGTACATTCCAGTGCCTAGGGACTTCTTTCCCGTTGGGGAGTTTGAGCTTGTAGGTCCCAGGTTTGATGATGGCTGCTATGACGTAGGGGCCTTCGAATTTTGGTGCCATTTTCCCCCCCTCGGTTGGTTGGCTGGCTTCCCTCCTCCGGAGGACATAGTCCCCCACTTGAAATTCTCGGGTGCGAACTTTGGCGTCGATGTAGCTTTTGACCTGCCTTCGGTAGTTTTCTGCCCGGATGAAGGCCTGCTCCCGACGTTCTGAAATGAGGTGGAGGTCGAGGGCCATGTTGCTGTCGTTGACCTCGGGGTCATATTGGATCACCCTTCGGGTGGGAAGGGTGACTTCCGTAGGAGCTTTGGCTTCAAAACCGTAGCAGAGGGAGAAGGGTGTTTCACCTGTTGCTCGCCGAGGGGTGGTGCGGTAGGCCCAAAGGATGTTGTGGAGTTCTTCCACCCATCCACCGCCCTCGGCCTCCAGCTTCTTTTTGAGGCCCTCGAGCAAGGTCCGGTTGGCATTCTCTACTTGCCCGTTGCCTTGAGGGTAGGCAACGGAGGAGAAGGTGTGTTTGATGCCCCATGCCTCTAGAAGGGCACAGAAGGGGGCTGCCTGAAACTGTGTTCCGTTGTCGGAGATGATCTGCTGGGGGACGCCAAACCTTGTGAGGATGTTCTTGAGGACGAAGTGACGGCACTTCGCCTCTGTGATGCTGGCGAGGGGTTCAGCCTCCACCCACTTGGTGAAGTAGTCGACGGCCACAATGATGTATCTGTTGTTGGAGGTACCCCTCGGCAGAGGGCCCACAAGGTCTATCCCCCATCGAGAAAAGGGGACGGATGTGCTGATGGGGGCATAGTTGACTGCTGGCCTGCCGGGGGCTTTCTGGAAATGTTGACATGCGGTGCACCTCCGGGCAAGGTCAGCACAATCTCTGGCCATGGTTGGCCAGAAGTAGCCCCGGAGAATGAGCCTTCGGGACATGGATAAGGGTCCCTGGTGAGCTGAGCAAGTGCCACTGTGCACCTCCTCCATTGCGACCTCGGCTTCATCTTGATGAAGGCACCGAAGTAGCGTGCCATTGTAAGATCGTTTGTAGAGCCTTCCATCTTCGATGGTGTAGCTAGGAGCCCTCAGCTTTGCCAGTTTAGCACGGGTCTCATTCTCGGGTAGCTGCCCCGTGGAGATGAAGGCGGTGATATCTGAGATCCAATCCTCTTGGCGTTGTTGTATGTTCATAACGGGGCTTGCATGGATACTTGAGAGGCTGAGTTCCTCGATTTTGGCAATTTTGGAGATGTGCTCGGGGGAGTCGGCCGAGAGCTTAGATAATATGTCGGCCTCGGAGTTCTGAGCCCTCGGTATTTGAGTGAGAGAGTGTGCCTCAAATACCTTAAGCAGCTCCTTGGCCGCTTCCTTGTACTGTTTCATTCTTCCCTCCTTGGCCTCATATTCCTCGGAGATTTGGCCAACGACCAACTTGGAGTCGCATTTGATGTGGATCTGCCGAGCCCTCATGTTGGCAGCCAGCCGAAAGCCACATAGGAGGGCCTTATATTCGGCCTCGTTGTTGGAGACTTTGAAGGAGAAGCGGATTGCATAGTAGGCTCTGAAGCTCTCTGGAGTAATGAGGACTACCCCTCCCCCGCATGCTTTGGTCGCGGAGGAGCCGTCGGTGTAGAGGGTCCACCAGTCGTCCGAGGTAGCCGAGGGCTCCCCGTCCGTGGCTGCCCTTGCGGTACACTCCGTCACAAAGTCCGCCAGGGCTTGGCCCTTGATGGCAGGCCTTGGGCGGATGTCAATGTTGTACTGGCTCAAGAAGATAGCCCATTTCACCATGCGGGAGGAGCTGGTGGGGCTCCTCATGAGGGCGCCGAGGGGTTGATGCGTGAGGACCTGAACCGGGTGAGCTTGAAAGTAGTGGCCCAACTTCTTGACAGTCCAAACGATGGCTAACACCGTTTTTTCCACAGGGGAGTACCTGAGCTCGGCCTCCCTTAGAGTCTTGCTAACGTAGAAGATGGCATGTTGGATGTCGTCTTCCTCCCGGATGAGCACAGAGCTGATGGCCGCCGGGCTGACCCCAAGGTAGAGATAGAGGGTTTCCCCTACCTTTGGTTTGGATAGCACAGGGGGTGAAGATAGATACCGTTTGAGCTCGTCGAAAGCCCCCT